GAAAGCACCAGAATATATTTTTTTTCTGTCTTAACTTAAAAAGGAAGAAAAAAAGAAGATTGTTTTAAAGAACTCAACATGCTCTGAAGTTGAAATCCTGATGGTAAGACTACAAGTACCCCAGCATTACGAAAGTGTTGCCATATGGCAGGTTCGTAATACGACTAGTTCAAAAATTAAATCAAACAAACAGAATTACTGAATCAAAACAGAAGCACTACCTTTTTCATTTCTGTGTTTTTTTCCAAATTATCATCGCTTCTCCGCAGAATTCAATTTTATAGCTATAATCTTAATGGTACGCTCTGCAGAAAAGCTATATTGTGCTTCCCTTTGAAAAAATAGTCATAAAACCCGTGGCGCTATACAAATTACATTAAAACTGCCTGCATTACCTTTATGACTTCCTCTGGCAATCTTTTTCACGTTTAACAGAGAAGCAGCACACTCCTCTGTGCGTGCTTGCTAATACACAGCTTTTTCTGGCCCTATTAATTCTCATTATTGAATGCTGCACCCCGTGCTGCAACGCCCCAGCGAAACCCAACACCCGGTAACACTTTGTTTTGGGGAGCTGTGATGCAGACGTTCAGACCTGGAAATTTCACCTCCGGGCAATGGCGCAAGCCCACGTTAAGGGCTGCCATTTCCCCAGAAGTGCCTTGTTTCAGCCAGGCATCCTTGGGATACACCAGAAGTTGATGCCTGGGAGGTGAAATCACTCTTCTCTCCATCCTCCAGGCACCATTCTGGGGACAAGATCAAGAGAAGAGCCGACATGATCTGAGATGTCACTACTACCATTCCTGCTGGGCCACTCCTAGTGGTTCTCAGCCCTTTCCCTAACCTGTCTCAACTCAGAAAATCCAAAGAAAAATAACCCAGGAAAAGGAAAACAACATCCTAGTAGGAGAGCAAGTTAGAGTAGCTCAGCAAAAGTCCCAGCCCTTTAATGTCAAAGATGTAGCTGTCAAGAACTTTACTGAAAGAAAGCTCTACTACAAAAGGACTGAAAGATGGGACCAGCTTTCTTCCTTGAAAGAAAAGACTTAATCATACCAGGCTCAGTTCCTAATTTTCCAGTTTTTGCAGCATTTTCACCAAAATACTTCATAAAGACACCTGCTTGTTGGATCAGCCAATTTGTATGATCAGTTGTTCGGGGTATTTTTTGCCCTTTTCATAAAGAAAACAGCTGTAAATTTCACACCTGTGAAGAATGTCAGACAAAAAGGCACAAAAATGGAAATCATCTCTTCGTCCTACCAGGCAGAGCAGGAACAGAGCACGCTGGTCAAGAAAATGCCCGAAGCAGAGCCATGAAGCCTCACGCACTGAGATCCAGACCATCTCTTGGCCACCACCCCGCGCGGCTGGTGGCAGAGATCCCAGCACCAGCGCTTGATGTATGTGCAATGCAGGGCCACCAGCCCGCTCCCACTCTGGGCTCCCTGGCGTCAGATCGTCAACAGCGCTGTGACGTGCTGGCCATCAGCTCTTCTTTACGTATTTTAAAAGGGCCCAAACCTGGAAGGAGCCCCAGTGTCCCTCACTGGAGTCAGGGAAGATGCTGGAGCGTACACTTCCATATTGACTTCACCTGCACAGGTGCCTTGCTAGTAACGCTGTCAAAACGAAACAAGTGCATCCCTGAGGAAACGCTGAAGTGAGCACCTGGACACACCAATTCTCCATTGAATTTTGATTCTTTCATACTATTCTCCTTCTGAAATCATATAGTTAGAGGTGACAAAAATGAAATACTATTTTGCAGCTGAATTGTTGTTTACTGAAGCAGCAATTAACCACATCATATGACCTTGCCTATATATGATAAAAATAGAACTGGACGAGCTTGCCAGCTATCCAGCATTTAATAGTACTTGGTTTGTTACAGAAAATATGCTTCATTTTTCTTAAGCCATGCTCAATTAATCCGTTTTGAATAAAGAACTCTCTAGCATTTAGCTCTAGATCCTGGTCACTTCAAGCTGTGGCTCTGCATGGTGTTTTTCCACAAGAATTGGTCTATGCTTACAGATGCATATCAGAAATAAATTTTAAGCCTAAAGTGGTGTGGGAACTTGTTCCCTCCCTCCAAAGAGCTTTGTCTCTGCATGTCTTCTTCCAATAAAACTCTGATAGAATTCAGCAGGAATTTTGGCTGAGAAGTACAACACACACCCCCTTTTATTCCCTTTGGAGCAAATCCCTAGAATTTAAAATTAATTTGACAGAACAAACTGAAGACTTTGAATAAAAGCAGAAGACATACAGGTATAAGAGAACTAAGGCATGCACATGAATAAATTTATTTTTATGCTTCATTTGTAATGAGTTTTATCTTGGGGGAGGGGAGAGGGCTCTGGGTTTCAATTTATCTGAAAGCTTGATCAATAATTCTCCGCTACAAGCAGCATGCCATCTAATTTCCACCCTAAAATTAACAACCCCTATCCTGAAAGTAGTTCTTATTTTGCACCTCTTCTGCTTATTGAAAGACTGCACAAGAACCTGGCTGTCTGATGGCTAAAAAATCCCTTCAAATTTCCAGTTTAAATATACTTGAGGCTAATTTTATTAATTAATTTTATTATTAATTTCCAGTTTAAATATACTTGAGGCTAATTCATATGTGCTTGCTCCTGTGACAACCTTGTCCTTAACTTTAAACGGCTCTTCCTCCTTCCAGCCTTTGTGTGTCACCAGATTAGCAAGCCAAGCTCTCCTAGGGTATGTTTATACAGCCTTTCATAGGCAAATATGCACATGCTCTCCCTATTCCTAGCTGGCTGGGTGAGAGCCAGATGCAAACTGGATGCTGTGTAGACCTGGGTAGGACATTACTGAGCCTGAACTGATGGGCTTCGATGAGGGCAGCAGCTTGATTCATGCCTCTTGATTCACATTGAGCTCACCTCTATGTGGCTCACAGCATAGGAGGAATAAGTGTGTGAGCACCTCCAAAATACTCCATGCACATAGCCTTGGTCGCTCCTCCGAGAGCCTCTCCACTCCTCTGTGCACTCCTCCACAGTCTTGCTGATCTGACTTCATCTCTTCTGAGCAGGGCTTGTCACCGGGCTACCCAAGTACCTCGTCTGTGCTGTCTGCTGATGTGCCAGGATGCATCCAGAATGACAAGAGGGACAGCTTTTGTCATCCCCCCTCCCTGGGCTCCATGTGGATGACCCACAACCTCTAGAAAATAGCTACAATCCCATAGCGCCAGGTCAGCTACAGGGATGGCCTGAGAGCTCACCAGTGAGCATGGCTTTCCAACACCAACGCTCTGCACCTGGACGCAGTTTTGCCACCCAATGAGCTTTGCTTTGATTTTCCATGCAAGGACTGGACAACAAAGCAAGTGCAAGAAGCAGGAAGCCACTTATATCATATAGGAAAGAAAAACTTGTTAACTCTAGCAAATCTGCATTTTATCAAATTAACCTTTGTGTTTGAAAGTCAGGTCTGCAAAATTTGCTTCTTATTGTAATTAACAGAAGGTCTTGATAATTGCACAATAAACAACCTTAACAACGAGAAAGTGTCAATTTTGCATTTGAATTGGGGATTATGGCAACTAATTCCATGAAGGAGTTAAATCAGTGTCATGATATTCTGGCAACCATTACAAAGGACACCACATTTTATGTTCAAAGAGTGTGGAAGCTGGATTTGAAATCACATTAATGCATAAATTTGTACAAAGCGTGGCATCCTTTCAGTTGTTTGTGTATTTTCAGGTAGATCCCTCAGCAGTCTCAAAGCTCATGATCTTAAAAAAAAACCACCACAAAACCCCGAGCATTCAGATATCTGTAAGTCAGTATTTCCTGACCTATTACTGACTACCTTTAATAGCTGTTCATCAGCTGTAGCTGATGTAGAGCTGCTTGGACGACAGAGCCAAACAGGCATCTTTATGGGACCATTCATGTTTATTACATCTGTGCTTTGTATCTACCAACAAGAGGCCACTTAGTTTTGGCAAACAAAACTTACAAACACCGGTTGTCCTTGGATCATTCCAGCTTTCAAAATAAAACCTGTTTACAACTCAAACACTGCAAAGGGATTGAAAACAACTGTCACTAACAGATAAAAAGAGGAAAAGACAGATTAGTTATCAAATGTACTCACATTTGCTTTCTATCTGTAAATATTAGCTCCCATACATATATAATGTTCAAAACCAATATGGAAATACAAATAAAACTACATACAATGGAGAACAATAGTTCATCAAAACAGGACGTCCCAAATTTTATGTTACAGCTCTAAAGATCTAACTTACCGAATTCTTTTTAAGGGTTTTTGCTGAACAAACCTCCTCTGCAACAGCCACTTCTATCCCATCTTTTATACGCTAGTATTATTTATAACATGTTGAGAGTTAGGAATAGGTGAACATCAGTTTGAACTCTCCTATCTAAGCAGAAATCCTTTGATGCTGACCTTATCTCGAAGGTACGGGGAACACAGTTTGCAACCCCCAAGTTTGGAACTGACTGGGGACTACACAGCATGAATCAATGAAGGTGTTGGGTATATGCGAGGCTGCTGTACCAAGAGACTTCAGCGGCAAGAAACAGTCTCTGCGTACCTTTACCCTACCAGAACAGGTGGCTTTCCCCCATTCCCTCATCCAGAAAGATGGGCACTCTTCCCTCAACAGTAATGAATTGCTCCATTCATCAGTTTGCACAGTGTTGAAAAGTCAATGCACGCTTTGAAAAATGTTGCTGCCCCTCCGCCGACACACTACGTTTCTAAGGACTCGGCGTTCACCACAGCTGCGTCCACTGGGAAGTGTATAAACACAAGATATGCACTATACTGTAAATTCACATGAGCTATTAAATATAAACTTTAAGGAAATCTAAACACTAACCTCAGTCACATTCAGAATGGTAAAGCTACGAGGGCATTTTCACAGACAATGGTCTAGGAGTTATGTTAGTTCCCAGGGATTTCACAAAGCGTTTTTCTCTTGTTACCTTGGTAACCGCTACCTTGGCACCCTTGTTGATAAGCTGCACCACATTCTCCACTTGGCCTTTGTAGGCGGCTATGAGCAGGCGTTCTGAAAGCACGGCGACCACATCCTGCTGGCTCATGAATTAGGAGAGAAAGGTTTTCAAGTTTCTTCGGTCCAAAAACAAAGGGTTGGGATCAGTTCAAGCAGCATGCAGGCAGGCGAGGAAGGACCCCAGCTCCCTGGACAGTGATGTTATTGCTATGCCATCCTCTGGACCTGTGGATCAGAAAACAACACTGCCGTCAGCAAGGTTTCAGAGACAGAAGCACTGCAGCAGCTCCTCCCCGAGTGTTCGTCTTCACATCACTTTGGGAGGGGGTCACAAAAACCCTCGGAGCCTCCTGAAGAGAATGCACTTCTGTTGCAGTGCAGAGGGATGTAGACAGTAGCACATTTTCAGTGTGCCCCTATTCCCCTAGGACAAAAATCCTTAAACTTTCTGAGAGCTTAACTCTCTTTTGGCCTAACCTGTATTTGTGTGGCCCGCTTTCATTCTCTCCTTCCCCCCAGGTTTCCCAGACTTTAATTAGCCAAGGACGGGTTAACTAACTCCACTGCTAATAGTAGCTCAGCCTGCGTTGGCCAAGGGAACAACAATAGGTTATAGTTACTGGCTGCTGATATAAATATACAAACCTCTGCCCTGGAAGGACTGAGTGCAGTCAGCAATTAAAGGCAGCTGACTGTGTCCTCACGAGTATAAAATGCTTCACAGCCTCCCCGAAACCATCCCAAGGACACCTTTGGGAGGGATCACAACTGCAACTGGGAAACACTCATCTTGGCTGTCAGTGAGAAATTATGTCCCCACCGCAGTGCTGACATCATGCCATGCTGACCCCAGAAACAATTCAGATTTAGCACTCATCATGCAAACTTGCGAGCATGTTCTTCTTCCTGGACTCCACTGACCCGTCCAATGAGCCATTGGAGCTGAAAAGAGATTTCTGACATAATTGGAGAAAACTTATCCGCAGATCGCTTTGAGCTGTAGGATCCAGAACCTGCCCAGTTTGGGAGGATTTCAGCTTTACCTGTGCTTTTCACACTTCGGTATTTAATTGTTTCAGTACAGGAAATACACCTTCAAGACAACCAGTGTGTATACAGATGGTTTATCTTTCTCTCTCTCTTGAAATATCACTGCACTGCTCCTTATCAGCTACCAGTATTACAGGCTTTGCATAGTCTAAGGGTAATTGGTACAGGGACTAGATGATCTTGGAGATTGATAATGGAATACAACATCTTTCACCCTTATGTTATCCCTTTGAATCCATCTCAAAACAGCAATAACTAAAAGCTATTACTGCTTAATGGCTTTGCTGCCCTCCTAAATTGATTTGTCTCAGTTTAGCCGATAGTACAAAACCCTCCCCATCATAATCCCACCACTCAGAGAACTGACATTTTTGCTAACAGCTTCAGCAGGGAGATCATCACCAGAACAGCAGAAAAGATTTAATTTCCATCCTCATACCAGGAAGACACTCCCAGCAACAAGGAGAAAATGTGCGGGTCGTTGTGGCACATGAACTCCCCGGCTTCTAAATACTGGGGGCGAGACCTTTTAATGAATGTCACTCCAATGTTATAAGATCACATCGACTAGTACCCCCTCTGGAACAAAAAGGTGCTGTAGCCCTGTTTAATTGAATGGTTAATAGGGTATTGTGATCATCTGTGTCACCAAAGTGGTATCCAAAGTCCTTGGACCCTGCAGGATCACTGATCTACACTAAAAACTTTTGATCACAAGCTCATGTATATTAAAACGATATTGGTTAACTTGTAGTAGTTGAAGATACTTGCAGAATTTAATTTGCACTCCTATGGTAATTTCTATTAATGAATCTTAAAAAGCTTTATGAGCATTAATTCTTTTAACACCCTTTGAGGAGAGTATTATGCTCAAGAATATTACACGCATTTTAGAAAAGGGCCCTTTAAAGCACAGGAAAGTTCCTGGTTTCTCCAAGGCTAATAGAAGAGTTGTGTCAAAGCCAGGAAATAACTCCAGACAATTGACTGTTGATTTCTAAGTATAAGCATTAGGCAATACTATCTCCAGGTAAAAGATTCAGGTTAGCTTTTCTTTACCATCCTCTTGCTTTCTAGGTGTGAACATGTTTGGAGCAACATGGAAATAGCTGCGCATTTATTCAGAGAAGCAAGACAAAAACTTTCTGGGTCTCAAAAGCAGCACAAGAACGGACATCAGAGAAGCGGTGCTGCACCCTGTGCCGCTGGACCGGTCTCACCCACACCCTCAATGAGACAGACACAGTTTGGACACCCTGGCAACACTGAAAAGATGGAAGTAAGAAGAAAAAAACCCTTGTTTCCTTCACCAGCGCTGTACATATCATACCCTGCCCCTCCGGCACAGTGATGTGCCCAGTATCATACAAACCACATAAAAAAGCCAAGAAATACAGATGGCCTACACTAAATAACTTGATCTGTGGAAAGCAACCCAAGTTTTGATCTCACCTCCCTAAGTATTTGCTTTCCAGTGACACGTTACCAAAGCAAGCTGAACCCCGCGAGCCCAGCCGCCCTGCTCCCAACACCCCCCTGACCCTCCCATCACATCCCAAAGCAGAATCTCTGTAACCCAGGAACGCTTCCCACTCCTTCCCTCCGTGATCGGCACACAGTGCAGGGCAAGCCTTACAACAGGGATCTTTCTCCGTGAGCTTTTCAGGCAATGAGGTGGTTTGTTTCTGTGTCAGCCTTTGCTTGTGCAGCGGTGGTTTCCAGATGAACTGTACCATCACTTGTTTGTCCCCATCCTTACACCTAACCTGGCTGCCCGTACACTGGATGGAGTCATGCACAATAAACTGACAACTCTGTGCATCTTAAAACATGTGGTCAGACCCTGTTTGGTTTTCTTACCCCTTAAATTCAAAAGAAAGCAGTAACATCATTGACACTGAAAGATTTTCATATTCACTGCAAAAAGCTCAATGCAAACATTTTCCTGACACACTGACATTTCTGAGCAAATTCACAGAAACTGTGGATGCTCGTTACATCTAGCCGCACCACTAGAAACATACACTAACACCTCAAATGACTCGCGACAGTGCAAAGTTTAGTTCTGTCACGGAAAAGTCTGGTTAACAGGTATGTACCTATGCAAGGTAAATGCTGGAAATCGTACTCACTTCCTAGTTTGATTATTCTCCCTTTCTCTCGCTGCCTTCCCATTACTGTAGTACGTTCCCCCCGGAGATCATGAGCCTCCTCAGCCTGCCATGCCCTGCCACGCTGGAGTGACGGACTGCGACAGCACCACTGTTATCATGTAGTTTGCCTTCTTGCCTCTTCCACCGCTTGGATCATGTATAAAAGCATAGCAAGGAGTTGATTCAGCTATCAGTCTTTTATGGATGTCTCCCACATTGTTCAAGTCTCCGGCAGTCGTCGGTCCCCTTTCCCGGAGGACAGTCACGTCACAAGCCTGGCTCCTGCTCCGGGCTGTTTCGCAGACAGGCGCTCGCACAACAGGTCACGTTCCCCACGCCGGCTGCTTTACATCTCCTCAGCTGGGATTATTTGCAACTCAGAAAAGCGCGTCTGATTAGTATAGGAAGCCCAGACAACTGAAAGACCAACTTTCCTTTTCTCCTGAGCTGGTAGGAAAAGACGATGGGTGACCAGTGGGAGGGGGAACAACCTTCTCATTCCCCTCCCAATGGACCCTTCCCCAGCGCAGCGGCTCAATGGGCAGTGGCATCACTCCCCGCCAGCTTTAACTCTTTACATGACTCAGACACACAGAGCATGTTTCCTTGAACACGTCTGCACCTGCAGCAGGAGGAGGAAGGTACCAGATGCCCAAGGACTACAATTAAAAGCTCGACCGCCCCTTTCACACACAGATGGTGCAAAATGAACCCAATAACACGATTACAGGCACTGCACCGCATCCCTGCTGCCAGCACCTGCTGCCCAGAATTAAATCCCTCATTATCACCCCCCCAAATCCAGGAGCTCGGGGGAAGCACAGAGCACGGGAATATTCAAACCTTCTGCCGTCAAAACAAAAAAATGGATTTTGCTTTAATGTATTTTTAAATAAGAAACAGCCATCTCTGTGTTTCTTTGTTTAAGATCAGATTACTTACCTGGGGCAGGCTGGGAAAGCAACACCTACTTCCCAAGCCTCTCCAGGGAAGCTGGCCAGGTGTGATGCCCACAGGTTCAGTTGCTCCACCGTGGGGCAATCCCTTCCGAGGATAACCTGCTCACCCCATCGGCGGAGCATGGAAAAGGACAGGTTGACCGAGGATCAGTATTCCCGACCGGCAGCAGCAAGGCACCGTCCCCAGGCACTGAGGTCCAGCCGCATCCTCATGGATGATGCCTGTGGCTCAATGAGTCACGTCACCCTACAGATGCTCTAGGAGATGTTTGGCCGGGAACAGCACAGCACAGCGCGGGTGGGCAACCGGCTGCTCAGTGACAGGGTCATAAAGCTCGCAGCTCCGGCCTCTCTCCCGTGCAACTGGCAGAGCAGGCGAAAAACACTCTACGCACCGTCCCCCTCCCCAGCTCCCTCCCCTCCAAACTGCTGCCAGGCTGCCTCAGCAGCTGTATCGCCTACACGTCAGTAACAAAAAAGTACAGGAATGATGATTTTTGAAAGCCAAAGGAAAGCCCAGGACACATCAAACATACCGATACTGAAAGGCTAGGTGATAGGATCTCCTAAATTCACAGAAAGGATTAGAAAAACCAGCTTCCTCTCTGAGGAAAGAGAAAAAAGCTGAAAACTACGAAAGGTTTAAGAGCTATGAGCTAATCAACTTTATAAAGTCCTCTGCGCTAAATGGAAAAGATGCAACGCCAGACACAGGTCACTCTCAGTACAATCACCAAGTTAAATTAGTATCTGAATAAAAGAATACTCACATAGCTAACAAAAAGTTTCTGTGTGTACCAAGGTACAAGATGAAAGGAAAAAAAAAAAGAAAAAGAGACCCCACTTTTCTGCAAGGCACCCCAAATTCTCTTTTCTAGTTTATCAGCAGAAATGATGCTGAATAGTCCAAGAAAAACTCTCAGCAC